GTTTGGCTTTGTCAATGTGACTGATGTACACTGATATAGATGGTGGGAGCGGGTGGTATGACAGCCAAGGGAAATAAACAGAATGTCCCATTGTTGCATCGCATCCTTGATGAGTCCGATTGCTGTTCGAGCAAACCTCCTCCTTACATGAAATTCTTCCACTTCCACCCATTCTGTTCTTACACTAATCTGGCTGTCTGCACCCCCGCCCCACACGCGCAGCTGCCGTATAAATCGAATCCTGGAGTCTCCACGGGGTAACGCACTGCTGGTGGGAGTAGGCGGAAGCGGCAAGCAGAGTCTGACCCGACTGGCCGCCTTCATCTCCAATCTGGAGGTTTTCCAGATCACCTTGAGGAAGGGTTACGCTATCACAGACCTCAAAGTAAGCACAAACAAACCGAAGTGATGATTGAAACCGTGTCCGACATGCGCGCCGTTCACGTTTGCCTTGTTTATGTCTAAAACCTGAGGAGATGCTGCTGGAATTCTTGACATAACCCCCGCCCATGCTTGGAATTTACACTGGCACCCCTGCCGTAAAAAAAACAAAACAAACTAACGATCTCTTGCCCACTTGTCGCAGAATCTCATGATGTGTCATTCCCCCACTCTGTGTGTTTCCCTCACCCAGAGTGACCTGGCATCGCTTTACATCAAAGCCGGCGTGAAGAATATTGGCACCGTGCTCTTAATGACTGATGCCCAAGTGGCAGACGAGAGGTTCCTCGTTCTGGTCAACGATCTGTTGGCATCGGGTAAGGGCAGGCTTCACTAATTACTGTCTGTCACGTTTTGCAGGAGCGGAAAGGCTTTAGCTATGTCGCAGCCAACAAAATTGCGGTGCCATTTCTCCAGCTCTGTTCACAATGCTACTGGTTGGAATGGCAAGAAGAGTTCACGTGGATGAACCATTTGAAGTGGAAGTTGATGTATTCATTACCTTTTGTTAGCCAGCAGAATAATGCCGAAAAGAACAAAACTAATTGAGACAAAATATTGCGGAGGGGCGAGGTGAGAATTTAATTATGGTGTGAATTGAGATAAGGAATTAACCCTTTCATGCACCCTGGAACCTGAT